ACATAGCGGTGGTTAAGTTATTCAGTCTGTCCGAACTCAGAGTCAATATGTAACTGAAATGCCAAGGCCAGGTACCAGGATAGCTGTAGGATCTGTGACGTATTGTTCACTGCTTTTGTACCATTAGTGTACATTAAATTGCAAGTAATGGAATATGCAATTACAGTCATTTAAACAATTAAGGCCATTCAGTTATCTTACATAGCCAGAAGTTTGAAAAGTAGCTAGTTCCAGGCTTGGTTTTATAACTCAAGATCTTATCTTTTATTCCACCTTTCTCTAATGTGAATGTTTCACTCATGATTGTTGTCTCCTGTTGTCAAGAAGGCTGCAATAGCACCTGACATTACATTTATATTCACAGAAGGAAGATAGAAAAAAGATCCTAGTAAGCTCTCTTCCAACACTTATATCTATTGCCAAGAAACCAAATCCTTTCACTGAAGTTCTTGTCTGAGAGGATTTCCACTTATTAGCCAGAACCCTATCGTATGGTTACCACTAGTAGCAAGGAAAACTTAATGTATATTTGGGAATGAGACTACAATGACAAGCATAGATAATCATGATTCAGCTCCAGCAGTCAGCACAATGCTGCCAGAAGAAATCAAGTTATACTAGGAAGAAGGAGGTGATGGGATGAGCACAGCAGTTGGCTAGTCAATTCATAGTGTTTTCAGTGTTCTCTTGCTTTTAATTTCTATCTCGATAAAAAAAATATATATTTTCTGTGTGCTTACAAAGAAGTAGAAATGTGACTTCTATTCTTCATACAGAATATATCTATCTTGCTTCCAATGATAATAGGGTATGAATCTTTTCTCTTCCAGTGCTATAGAATAATTTCATTAAGTGAAAAAAAAAAAGAGAGAGAGAGGTGATAGTCAAACATAAAGTACTTGTGGCAAACAGTATTGGTTGCCCAGATTATAATCATTCACCTCAGTTTTTTGTTAACCCCCAGTCTTGATACCTTCTACATAATGATCAGCTCAGTGAAGATTCCCCTTTAAGGCTCTAAGGAGTTGGTCTTAATTAATAATTAATCTAATCAAATCACAGTAATTCTACTTTCCACATCAGTAATTCATTAGGGAGTGAGTATGTAACATAATTCTGGCCAATGATTCATGAGAGGAAGTCTGCTGAGGACCTCATAAGAAAAAGTTTCCTCATATAAAAACAGACACATGGACAAACAGTCCCTTTCTTCATCTCAAAGAAAATAGGTGATATGATGCCTGCAGCATCAGCAGCCATTTTGCAACTGCAAAGACATAAATCTAGGAAAAGGTCAACATATTGAGAATAGCTAAGTAGAAACTCAGGCCTTGATAGTATTGTTTAATCACTAAATGAATCAACCTTGAAACGGCCTCGCCTATAAGTTTTTTATTATGAGAGATAATAAATCCCTCCTTATTTAAGAGACTCATAATTTGGTTTCGGGGTCAGCAGGTGGCATAGTGGTTAAGGCACTGGACTCCCTCCCACGAGATCAACTGTGATTTGAGTCCTGGACCCAGACGCTTGAAACTCCTGCCAGACACATATGTATGTTCACCCAAAGTCCCAAGAGGAGAATGAAAAACAGGGGATTGTGGCATTGCCATCCCCCTGCGGGGTGATTTCTCATTATCTGTCTCTCTATCCAGTGAGCACATCTGCCTTATGGCAAAAATCTAAAAAAAAAAAAAAAAAAAATTTCTGTGAGCCCAAATCATCCTCACTAATGTGGTTTCAGTCCTATGAGCATATGTCATATTTCATCAATAAGCTTATTTCACCAGCACCAGCATCAAGCTCCGGACAACGTGCCGCTCTCTGATAGCCTGGAGCTGGCTGATCATCTTATTCCAGGCTGCCACATCAGCTTTCGCTGAACCAGATATTCTGAAGTCCCCGTGGTCAGAAAACTCAACCTCAGTTGTGGTGACAGAAGGTTCTGAGGCTCTTCAGGTTGACCACTGGAGTTTCTCCACTTCCCTGCAGCCACCCACCATCTGTTTACCCTAGACGCTTCATTAACTGCAAGAGGGGCCGCATACACCACCCCAAACTCATAGGCAGAGGGGTGTCAGGGGCTTAAAGAAGTCCTATAGAAATAACGAATTGTTGCCGGGGGGAAAAAAGGCTTATCTATTAAAAAGTTGATATAATTTGGGGTTTGGGCTTTTCATCTTATAGAGGAAGATATATTATGTCTTGTGTACAAATTCTATGGCATGATGAAAAAGCTATATAGACTTAAAAATATATCTGGATATGGATGTATCCAAAATTGAAAAACAGTATTTAATTCTAATAAGTGGTAATCTTAAATTATTTTTATAGAAAAGACCTAAAATGTGGTTGAAGATCTGAAGTGTCAACTGACATATACATTTCCTTTTCCAGAAACAAGTAGTCATGCAAGATGCATGCTTGTTATGGAAGAAAATTCTTGCAGAAGAAAATCCTGTATTGTTATTAATACTCAGAACTGCTGGTGCTCAAACGCCACCCTCAGGGGCAGTGAGCTTGCAACTTAATCCTGTGACTTTTCTGAACCCCATTCTAGGGCTGTTTTAAAAATGCCCACTCACTCCTTCTTGAATGAGGACAGTGCCCTGAAGGGACTCTAAATAAATACTTCCCTTTTTTTATTTGTACTTTTTAAATTTATATTTAATCACTGTACATCTTTACAGAGTGAAAATATTTTTCTCTGAGCCAACAGGCAGCATAGTGATTAAGGCACTGGATTCCCACATGATCAACCACGGCTCAAGTCCTGGACCTGGTGGCTTGCTTTCTGACATTCTTTCTCCTCTCTCTCTCTCTTTCTCTGATAAAATTCAAAAATAATCATAACGATAGCCAGTAGGTGGCATAGTGGTCAAGCTACTAGACTCCCATGTCCTGGACATGGAGGTTTGAAACTCACCCTGGGCGCTTATGCATGCATGCACAAAGTCCCAGGAGGAGAATGGAAGAAAAGGGATTATAGTGGAGCCATCCCCCACTATAGGGGGTAATTTCTCGCTTTCTGTTTGTCTCTCTGGCAAACTCACACACCCTGATAGCAAAAATCTCTCAAATAACTAAGTAAATAAAAAAATTTTAAATTTTTTTATTCCAGCACAGATGTAGTACATATCAATTAAGTCAAAGATATTATCATATACATTATCATCAACAGATACTTTTCACTCATGAGTCTATTAAATGTCTAATGGTCACGTCCCCATCTCCTCCTTCCCACCCCCAGTTACCTACCACCTCTAAATAAATACTTTCTACCATGGCAGAAAAAAGTACACTGCAAATTTTGTCTCGAGCCTTTCATGCTTAGAGGGCCTTAGCAGGACTTAGTGCCAGAAAGACTCCCAACAAAACAGGGCAAACCACTTTATGTATGTCTTTATAACACACTTTTCTGTGCACTTCTAAACTAGCGATTTTGTACATTTATATCTTTTTTTTTTTTTTTTGGAGAGGTTTTTTCACTATAGGGCGCATGCGCTCACCAGACAGACAGAGAGACAAAAAGCGAGAAATCATCCCCCAGGGGGGATGGCCACGCCGCAATCCCTTCTCCTCCATTCTCCTCTCGGGATCTTGGGCACGCACACACATGCGCCCAGCATGAGTATACGCCACCAGGTCCTGGACACAAACCGTGGTCGACTATGTGGGAGTCCAGCGACATAGCCATTACGCTAACTGCTGGTCCCTTAAAGCTGTTTTATTAGACCAAAAACTTCTGAGAGCAAACAAAATTGTCGAAAGTACTAAGAGTCAAGCAGGCCAGGAAGGGACAGACAAGTTACCAAGAGAGCCAATTAGGTCTAATCTGTTCTGTACCATCTTTAGATCTAAATGACTGAAGTCAGAACCAACTTATATAGAAAACAGTGCACACTGGGCCAGCTCCTAGGTATCAAAATTATAATTTAGCAGTTTTTTGTTTGTTTGTTTTTGGGTTGTTTTTTTTTTTTTCCATGCCAGATTAGAGAAAAAAAATGTTCAGGCATTATAGTTCAAGATGCTCTGGGAGGTCAATGAGAAGCACCACAGCTGGTTTTTAAAGAAATATAACAAAACTTTTCCATCTAGAAAGGGTTCTTCTAGGTAGGTTCTTTAAGAAAGTATACATTTGCCCTGAGGATGCTTTTTATTGCTTAACATATTTGGAGAACTCTCTGATGAAATTTCTTTCCAGAGCCTTAAATTCTTTAGAGTATCCCCAACAGTGATTAATCTCTATCATTTAAAGGTTTTATTTGTTTGGAGATGAGAGTGAGAAGAGTTCAAGGGAAATGATGGGGAGAATGACACAGCCAATAATATTTGGAAGGAAAATTCAGTGAAAGTTAGCTAGTAAATTAGGCTAATGTTGTTTTGCATTCATTACACTCACCAAAAAGAAAATTTTCAAATGGGAAAAGAAAATCAGCTACCTTTAAGAGGGCATTGAAGGTTAAGGTAGATTTTATACAGAAAATGATTGCTAATTAAAATGAGAATTATATTCCATGTGTCCCATACCTCCCAAAAAAGAGAAAAGGAAAATAAAAATGTTTTGGACGTAATCAGAGAACTATAGTCAGTGACATGTAAGAAATTACAGAAAACAACTAAAGACAAATCAAAGCCCTTGATTTCAAAGGGAGGATTCAGGATGGGAGAATAAAAGGTGTGATCTAGAAACGTCATGTAGATCCTAGAAAAATTCTAGAACAGGGTGTTAAACAGATGGCTCCAAATTACAAAATGCTAAAAATAATCCAGCTCATGGTTCTACAGATTTTTTTTTTAATGGAGAGTAAAAGAGATGCAATGACTCGCCTAAGGGCATGAAACTGAGCATAATGGAAAAATTGAAACAGTAACTTAGATTACATCCCCAAGTTTCTAGGAAGAAGCTGAATTCACAAAAGGACTAACATAATCCACAAAGAAGCCAATTCCCTTCTAATGTGGGCTTAAACCAGGGAAACACCACAGAGTCAGAGTACCTTCATTCCAGCAAAGCACTTTAGGAAGGATCCGGTGATCTGCATGGAGACAAGATGGGAAAATACAGCAAGGTGCAGGTTACAGCCAGGAGCCTACAGAACAGTGGGTGGTTTAACAGTCAGCAAACTGATAGATGGCTCTCACCTGTTATATCTACAAAGCTCCCACAGCAAGATTAGCATTAATGACTTCAGGTAGAGATAGCAAGAGCACGTTTATCAAATCTACATGTGATAATGCCATAAGGAAAATGTTTAAATTGGCCTACACCCCAGCCCCTCCCACACCAAACTCTCTGTATACGTGTGTGTGTGTGTGTGTGTGTGTGTGTGTGTGTGTGTAATATTATATATATATAATATATTTTATATATATAAAATCATGTTCACACATTCACACAAGACATTCTTAATTGTAGATACAGGATGAGAAGAAGCTTGCTTGTAATGGTAACTATTATAACAATGTTTTAAATACATAATAGCAGGGACCAGCAGGTGGCACGGTGGTTAAGGCACTAGTATTCCTATGTGACTGACCACAGTTCAAGTCCCATACCTGAAGGCTTGAAAATCATGCCAGGCACATGCGCATATATGCCCAAAATCCTGAGAGGAGAATGGAGGAGAGGAGATTGCAGCATGGCCATCCCCCTAGCCCCCTGGGAGGTGATTTCTTAATTTTTCTTTCTCTCTCTGGAGAGTGCATGTGCCCTATGGAAAAAACCTAAAAAGTAAAAAAAAATTAAAAATAAATAAAAACAGCAAATAAGTCTCATTTGACCTCAAGTCAGTGTAAGTCTTCAGGGCAGTATGCGTATCTAAAAGGCAAACAGTCCTAATTTATATCAACAGTTATCAACAGTTAGATAGTCTCATCATGCCCCTATACCTTGGTGTGGGGGCTTCAGTGGTTCCACCTGGAGGATTATGCTCCATTTCCAACCTGGGTTTCCTGAAAGACATCCACAAACAAAGTCAGCCCAGCAAAGAGCAACCTGAGAGTGAAAGCCAGAAAGATGACGAGTACTAAGTACCTGATACACACTTAGCCATAGAAACTTAGAAGTCATAGGTGTTGTGACATCAAATATTTGTGATGTCACGAAAAAGAGAGAGAAGAAATGCTGTCTGTCCAAGGGGAGAACTCTGGCTGCAGGTGAGAGGAAACCAATTTCGTCTTGACTTAAAGAACCTTCTCACCAGTTGAATTATCCTGCCCAGGGCTGGCTGCCTCAGCCACATGCAGCCAACAGCAGGTGCTTCAGCACCACCAGTCCAGATGGAATCAGTGACCATCAGTCAGGAAGTCCCCAGAGACATCCCGAAGCTGAAGTCAGAGGACAGATGAGATGATTTCCAAGAGTGCCTTCCACAGTTAGAGTTGGTTTTTGTTCCCAATGGTGTGACCATGAGGTTTTAAGATGATTTTCTATTATAGCTCATAGAGAGTCTCTGTGTGTCATTTTTAAAATGGCTTGTGCCAGACAGTGGCACAGTGATAAAATGCAATGCTTTGAGTGAGTGGCAATTCCACATGGGAGAGTTCCTAGTTCAAGTCTGGGGATCTCCCTGAGTACATTGGGCACATACTTCGCTGTGATCCCATGATCTGAGTCTGGCTGAGACTGGATGCGGATTATATTATGAGAGAGTAGGACCCACTGGGGATGCTTCCTCTCTCTCTCTCTCTCTCTCTCTCTCTCTCTCTCTCAAAATAAACATTTTTAAAATGACTTTATCTTCTCCCAAAGATTGTTATCCATAAAATTCCTTTCCATAAATGAAAACTGACATCCTCTGGGGCTGGCAGGTGGCATGGTGTTAAGGGCACTGAACTCCCACATGGCTGAATGTGGTTCAAGTCCCAGATTTGGCGGCTTTCTTTCTCATTTTTTCTCTCTCTCTGTCCCTCACTGGTCAAATGAAAAATAAATAAATAAATAATTAAAGTTAAATACAATATTACTTCTTAAAAAATGAAAACTAACATTCTCTCCCAGTGTCTACACTGCCTCATTTACTAATCTCTATGTCTCTTCCTAAGATATTGAGATAACTGTAAAATTGGTCAGAGCGCCAGCTTTTACATATTGTTTTCCCATTTCTCTGTTTCCTGTCATTTTCTCTTGTGGCTCCTTATATTCTGAATCTCCTTGACGAGATGCTAGGTCTAAAATTGGCCCTTTGCCCAGTGTGGGGTTTCCCCAGCCTAGAGGTATGAAAAGGCATTTCACGCCCTGTGGCACTGGGGAAGTCCCAAGGCCTCCAGAGAGCTCAACTATTTTATTTTAAAAATTAAATAGAAGAGAAGCATGACTGCTGGGTGTAGAAAAGAGGGGAATTTTAACTTGTGAAATAGTGACTAGATACTATTTTTACAATAAAAGATCATTTCTCTTCATTGACTCACACAAATACACCCACTTGATCGATTTACTCTTTTACCAACTGTCCAATACTCTGACGGCATCATCGGAGGCTGGTCTGAGGTGCCAGGATTACAAGCATACATTACCACCTAAACCAGGCAGAAAACCTGTGTATGCTTCTATAGAATATTGAAGAAATCTCATTTGCAGGTGATATCTAGATGTTGACCGTGTAACAAAGGCCATAGACTAAGTTTTGAACAATATCTTTCATTCATTAACATTTGCTGGAAAAGGCCAGCAAATGTTGGAATACATTTGTTCACTTCCTATGGGTTAAAAATTGAGACTCAAGTCATCTAGACCCTTTCTGACACTTTTCATAGTAATAGCCCTTTGTAATAGGCCAGAGGAGAAGAAAAAGCTGAGACAGAGTCTGTGTCTATTCAAGGCTATTGCTGCTTCCAGTCCAAGCTCATGGTGGAATACTCCCCAGGTTGCTCGGCTCTACTCACCCTAACCATTAGGAACACAGAGCCAGAGTCAGGTCACTGTGTTTCAAGACTAATAAAGAGAAGTACTATGTTAAAGGAACTGAAAGGAAGAGATGCAGGAGGAAGGGGGTGGGAGATATTAACCTTAAGCACCTGGATCTGCTCCTGGCATTGATTTTAAAATCTAGGCCAGGAGAAAGGAGTAGGGGTTGTAGCTCTAAGAGCCCATAGCTTTCTTTGCTGTGCCCTCCCATTTAGAGCATGTGTGTAAATTGGTCTACCCAGTCAACCAAGTTGCCTATCTGGGACCGCTTTGGTTCTTCCTGGTTATACCAACGAGAGGGATGAAGGTACTTTGAGAATGATTCACTGATACGGTAAATAACAAAAGAATAAATACCAGAGGAGGATGGGGTGCAAGGGAAAAGAAGTAGGACTTATTAATAAAAGGTAAACATGACAATCAGTACACTAAAAAAGTGTACCCCCAAACTAGTTCGTTCAAGCTACTTAACTGATTCCTGCCTTCAGAGCCTCTACCAGAATGCTCTGCCTGGGTCTTGACATCACAGCTCCTCCTTGTCCTTCAGGCTCAGCTCAAGTGCTATAGTCACAGAGAGGCTGTCTCCAACGTGCACACTAAAAGGAGCCGCCTAGTTGCTACCATGTCACTCTGTTCATTTCATCCCACTACTTAAGGCTTTTTGCAATCACATTGTTCCTTCACTTCTCTTCTATTGTCTGCTCCTTCCTCCTCCCCGCTAGAATATAAGTTCCATGGAAACAGGACTTTTTGCCTGTCTTGTCACTGTTTAATCTCTCACTGTAAGCAGCATGTATCTTATATATGGGATAGTGAGTGTTTAATACACATTCGTGGAATGGATAAATGACCAAATCAATGGCAGAAAGGTCTCAGTTCCTGATCATTCAAAACTATAGATTTTCCTGTTTTTAACTGGTTTTCTAACAGATTTTCTTGTGGAAAGAACTTCATTACTAATAATACCAGGTAAATGAAGCATGTAAATGGAAAAGCCTGTTGTCATGGAGATTATCCAGATAATTTAAAGACTAACATTTCTCTTTAAGCACATGTTATTATCAGAGACTGTGAGACTACCATGACAATTGTACATTGAAACTATTATTGTTTCTGACCAATGTACTATTATCTCATCTTTCTTCTGATCCCTAGGGAGCTGCAGTATACAAAGATCACCTGTCTATTTTAAAAATCACTTTAAAAAAGACCACCAGGTACTTTTCACTCTTAACAACTTACTCACCTTCACTGTATGAAATTATTTGTCATTTATGCCTCCCAGAGATCTAACCAGAGTCCCAAATCCTTCATCTGAAAGCATTAGAAGACTGATGCGATAGAAACTTATTATCCCCACCAACAGCATTTCTTGGTATGGCAACACAATTTTTTAAAGTTTATTTCTTTATTCCATAAGCAAGAGACAGAGATAGAGACAGAGATATGCACCCTAACAGAGTCTTGACACGGCAACCCATCCCCAGCCTCAGTCAGCCCTTGATCACGGACATCCATGTGCCAGCGTACTCACTGAGGTCTCTGAACACAAATCTGGAATCTTTTCACGTAGGTCGGCCTTTGCAGAACATCACATTCTGCTGTTGCATCATCAGGCCCACCCCATCACAATGTTAATGTGCTAAAATATAAAGATTCCACAATCAATAAAACAACAAAAAATTCCTTGCAGACGAAATAAGCATTGCACCATGAAGCACACTTTGTGAATTAAATAAGTAGAGCCTGATACCAAAAGGCCAAGCTAAAACTACATAGTAGTAACAACCATGCTTTATGACAGATTGCTGTATGGTCTGTATGGGACTATAGCAAAATGAAAAATTCATTTCCACTAATCTTGCTCATGTGAGTAGGAAATTCTCTTTATTTTCACTTTAGAACAAGAAAATCGCTCCATCTCCAAAAGTCCATTTTGTACACTTAAAAATAAAACTGGCCAACTTGGGATTTGCTGCATGTCCCTGGCTTGCAGCTACAGTACATAGCTGTGGGCTTCCCCAGGCAGGGGAACAAATGTCTGTGTGGGAGAGAACGCACACTGCTGACTGTGTGGGGGAGTCTGCGAGAGGAGACACCCGTGTGGGAAAGCTTAGGCAGCACCACCAGAAGGTTGGAGAGAATTCCAATAAGTAACCAGGCTCCGCCTCCAGAGGCTACCCAAGTGCACCCGCAGCCAAGCAGCAAACTCTGCGACTCTTCTCTAGGTGCACAAGTGGAAAGACAGGCTGGGCTTCTCTCCTGTCTCCATCACCGTTTGCCCTCAATTCTTACATGAAGACTTGGAGCCAGCTGCAAATCCTCAGAGAAGTTTTTTCTCATGCATCTTTCTTCATGGGGCCATTGCGTGAACCTCAGTTTGTCTCTGTTGGTATGTAACAGGTGTTCTACAAATCCCTACAACCTGCTTTTTAGCTCATTGAAGCCCCCGCGTGTCCTGTATCAAGGTAGATCATAGATCATTATCTCCCCCAGCAAAGAGGCATGTCGACTACTACTTCCCCACGGAGTTTAGGACAGGACTGCCAGAAAATGGCTTTTCAGTAAGTCAAGGAATGACTTAGCAACTTCTATTCTAGTAGAATTCATTCCTGAAAATCAGGGTGTGTTTGCATGAGAATTGGAGTTTGGGGGACAATGAAATGTGACGGAGGAAGAAAAAGGACTGATATATACATTAGAGGTAGGGAATGACTCACATTCCTGTGGAGAGAGCAAGGGAAGACCTCTTGGCCCAACTGCAACATTTAAACAAAAGTATTGAGGGAGTCCAGGGAAGAGTAAAGACAGAGTGAAGAGTGAATGGTGGCACCAAAACCAAAATGAGGAGTGGCTGCCTAGAAAAAATGTGCCAAATGTTGACCGTGAGTGAGATAAAGCAAGCATTTCTGAGTGGGTGTATGGGGGGAGAGCAGCTGAGATAGAAGGAAAGTAAGATGGGAGGAGGGACTGTACTTAGGGCATTGCCACACCTACTTGCTAGACTGCAGAGGTGAGAGGCAAGTTTCCTGCAAACTGCGTTTTTGTGCTAAACGTTGTCTCAAGTATCTTTCCAAGCCACGCCCAACTCTGATCATCTGTGATAGCTGAAATGAGTTTCCAAGGTCTCCAATGAGGTCTTTTTTTCCTGAAGGATAAACTTATAATATCGTTTTAAGTTTTATGTATTTATTCTATGAGAAAGAGAGAAACAGTACCTCCAACCAGGTCTCGACAACACTATCCACCCCCAGTCTTCAGTCAGCTGGCATACTGTGCCCCACATACTCAGGGAGGTCTCCAGACTTCAAGCATTTCTGAGTGGGTGTATGGGGGGAGAGCAGCTGAGATAGAAGGAAAGTAAGATGGGAGGAGGGACTGTACTTAGGGCATTGCCACACCTACTTGCTAGACTGCAGAGGTGAGAGGCAAGTTTCCTGCAAACTGCGTTTTTGTGCTAAACGTTGTCTCAAGTATCTTTCCAAGCCACGCCCAACTCTGATCATCTGTGATAGCTGAAATGAGTTTCCAAGGTCTCCAATGAGGTCTTTTTTTCCTGAAGGATAAACTTATAATATCGTTTTAAGTTTTATGTATTTATTCTATGAGAAAGAGAGAAACAGTACCTCCAACCAGGTCTCGACAACACTATCCACCCCCAGTCTTCAGTCAGCTGGCATACTGTGCCCCACATACTCAGGGAGGTCTCCAGACTTGAACCAGGAACCTTCCCATGTGTGACTGCCTTGCAGAGCTTTGTGCTTTACCACTCTGTCACCACTTGGCCTCAGTGAACTCATGTCCAGAGTGTTTTTGATATTTCACCTAACTCTCCCTTAAGAGTAGAAGAACTAATTAGATAGTTCTTCTAATCTCTCAGAAAATCAAGATTTTCAAGACTGTACCCAATCCAATTCTCCTGTCTACTGCCGGCCATTCCAGGAGCAGCCTTCCCAGACTACCCAGAAGCAACTCAGGAGACAGCCAGACTTCCGTGGGGGACCCAAAAGAACCCACAGATATGAAATGGAGGCAGGGCTTTCTCTCCTTCTGATAAGGCTTGCCTCCCAGGCAGTAACACCCATGGGGCAAGGAGCATTTGATACAGATAGAAAGTGCCCCTTCACTAGGGAGGAGAGGTGATACTGCCAACATCAATCTCAAACTTCTCAGCTTGGCTTATTTCTTTGACGGTTCATTGTAATGCTTTATATCTGATATTCTGAAATCTAAAATAATACTTTCCAGCTCCCTCTTTTTTTTCTTTTCTTTTTCTTTTTCCTTTTTTTAAGAAAGAGAAAAGAGGAAAGTAATTCAGAACCCATTCTTCTCATGGTTTGGACCAGGCAAACGTTAAAGTAATGTTTCCACACCAGATTTCTTTTCCCCCTCTGCAGTGCTGTCCTTACTTCTCCAGAATGTTCCCCAGTTATCATCTCTTCTAGGAGTGCATTCCAGAATGTGCCCTGGAAAAAGAAAAAAGAAGACAGACCCATGGTCACTAACACATGTTAAAATACTCATGGTACCATCTTGGATTATTTTAAAAATACATTAATTGATGTAATCTTTGTCCTCACAAAATGTATAAGCCACATGTACTCGGTTTTCCAGGGTGTCTCCTCCCCCTGTCCTTCCTACCTCTGCCCTCAGAAGTGGAAAAAATGGCCCAGGTGGCACATTCTTGGATTCCCACGCTTGAACTCTGGGACTTCTGCAACTTCATCTCTTACAGATTTGTTGACTATATTTTTCAACACCAGTAAAATACACGGCCTGAAGCAGGAGATTTAATGTGAACAAGAGAAGCAATATTTAAAAGCAAGAGGGGCCAGAAGATGCCATAGTGGTTACATTGCTGGAGTCCCACATGGCTGACCATAGTTCAAATTCTGGTCCTGGTGGCTTGAAAATCACACTGGGGGTGTACGCATGTGTGCACAAGATGCTGGGAGAAGAATGAAGGTAAAGGAACTGCAACAGCGTGATCATCCTCCGTGAGGGGTTGGGGGATAATATCTCGCTTTCCCTCTCACTGTCCTCCTCTTTCTCCCCGATTAAGTGCACGTGCCTTAAGGCAAAAACCTCTAAAAAATAATAAAAAAAAAAAGCAAGACTGAAGTAATTTTCATAGATTCCAATATTTTAAGAGGAAAAAAGGATAAAGCAAATTATAAAAAAGAAACACTTGGTCCAGCAGGTGGTGTGGAAGTTAAGGGGCTGGATCCCACATAGCCAACCATGGTTTGAGTCCCAGACCCAGCAGCCTGAAAATCATGCTAGACCCAAAGTCCTGAGAGGAGAATGGAGAAGAGATTGCAGCAAGTGGTGTGTGTGTGTGTGTGTGTAGGGGGGTGATTTCTCAGTTTCACTGTCTCTCTTTGGTAATTGCATGTGCCCTATGGCAAAAACCTAAACAAGAAGGAAAAAATTTTCTGCTCTACCAATTCATCCCTTACTACCTACTATTCCCTGGTAACCACTGACCTTTTTACCATCTCATAATTTTGCCTTTTCCAAATCTAATATAATTGGAATAACACAGTATGCGGTCATTACAGATTGGTTTTGTTCAGTTAAAAATATGTAGTTAAATTTCCCCCTTGTCTTTTCATGGCTTGACAGTACATTCCTTCTTAGTGCTGAATATTCCATGGTCTAGATGTATCACAGAATATTTGTTCATTTGCTTATTAAAAGACATCTTGATTGCTTCATCACTTTTTTATATTTTTTTTAGAATAGGTTAAAGGGACCAGTATGTGGTGTGGTGGTTGGGATCCTAGACTCCCACGCGGTCAACTTTGTTTGGAGTCCTGGACCTGGCAACTTGCTTTCTTACTTTCTTACTTTCTCTCTCTCTCGCTCACTCTAATGAGCACATGTGCCCTATAGCAAATTTAAATAATAGCAAATAACACTAAATACATAATTCTTTTAAAAAAGAATAGGTATAAAGATATAACATGTAGTAGAAAAAAACACTTAAACATAGCAAGAGAGATCTCAGTGCTTCATCACTCCTCTCTTATGTTTGTTTTCCATTCATACGCTCTTTTTTTTCTTAACAATTACTTTATTTAATTTTATTCATCATTATTAACAGAGATATTTATGGTTATTGTAATGGGGTATTGTTGCTACTGTCATCTGATGAGATAAGGCCAGGCACATTTCTAAACATCTTATAATACACAGGATAGTTCCCCACAAAGAATCAGCCAACCCAAAATACCAAAAGTGCCACAGTTGTGAAACCCTGCTCTTCATGAACTAACTGCTATCAAGTGATATTTGGATGACATAAACGCCAATGCCAGTGACATTACTGTGCCCACTGCAAGACTAAAAATGGCTGAAATTTGGAAGGATATTCAATATTTTCTTAACATTTTTGGGATATCTTAATCTTGACTCTGAATTACTCAGATTACTTTTTCAAAACAGTCAATTGAATAAAATGAAAAGGCTTTTTATAGTTCATGTAAGTTTTTCTATTTTGGAAATAAAAGTTGTGATTAAAATTGGCATTTCTGAAACTCTAATTGCTAGTTATTGCATTGCTAGGGGATTAAAAAAAAGAAAAAAAAATATTTCCAAGACTAACCAGATGGGAAGTCTCAAGATAAGAAATCATAAACCAATGTCCACATTCCAATCAGAAAAAAATTGTTTATACATTTTTAATTGTGCTTAAACAGTATGCAATACATGTCTTTAATTAACTCCTAAACTGCGATTAATTGGCTGGGTAATTTTCTAACATGGAGTTTAATCTCCCAAATCCTGTTATTAATAAGATAGAATGTGTATAAAAACAGTCTGTATATTAAGCACTTCATAATTCTAATGGAATCAGACTGGTTTCTATATTGCAAGTAATATCTCTTTGTAGATGCATAAACTACTTATAGAAACTTACATTGTCCACTTTTCAAAACCCATTTCTAATTGAAATTTGTTGAAGTGTTTCAGTTTACATGCCCTGGATCGGAGCAACACGAATGTGTTTGCAACAACAACACTCAAGAGTTTCAGAACGTGACCAACACTTCCTTCGTAACTGCCTGTTCTTCCACTTCTGAAAGCTCTCTCCTCCTTTCTTACTCTCTCTTCTCCTTTCCTCTTCTGCCATTCCCCTAAGAAGTAGCACAAAGATGGGGAAGACTTGCAGTGGAGGAATGTGAGAAAATGCTTTCATGGCTCCTCCCTTCTGTCACCAGAGAGACTGAAATTTTTCCCCAACAGGAAAAAATGGCCAAGCCAGGGCTTTCACTTACTGAAACTTGCTGAGCCGTCCAAACATATGAGTCTTTAAGCCATAAAGAAAGGCTTCTTTTTAAGGGTCTTGCTTTTGGTAGACTTGTGGAACTGTTTCCTTTGATTGAAGTCTGCTGAAAGCAACTGAGAAAAACCTCCAAATGAATGTACATCTCTTGCTAGTTGCTTGGGTTTGACAAATAAAGCAATCATCAAAATCATGGAGTGTGTACTGCTTTTAAAAGCCCTATTTGTTTGATATAATAAAGCAGCAGGATGGCTAGGCAAATAAATGGCATTACTTAACATAATCACTTAATGTTGTGCAACCAATGTCAGGTCTCATTGCTTTATCCTTTGCAAAGAGTTCGATGATAATAAAGTTGATTGTTAGTGTGAAGATATAAATTGTTCGGTAGTTACCAGTTGTTAATGATGGCAAAGGAACACAAAAGAGGAAAAAATAGGCTTTAGCAGCCCAAATTCATTGCTAATTGCCTATGCATTCATTATAGACTGACCAGGGCTAATTATCTAATTAAACTGAAGCTCTGTTGCCTTAGAGGAATTTCTAGGCCTGTGATGTTGGTTGTCAATTACCTCAGCATGTCCTGTTGATATGTGTAGTTAACTCAAGGAATGTTTTGCTTTTCCCAATAGCAATACATGGTTCTCTTATTGAATGGTAATTTATGCTTAGAATGAATTTTTTTCCTTAAAAAATATGTGAAAACTAAGAATAATGGAAAACATTTTAAACAAGAGCTCCTGCTCACTTTATTCGATGAGTTACATTCAGGAAAAGTCAATATAATCTATTTTAAGTAGAGAGAGATAACACAGACACAAAATAAAAATCATATATTGGGACCAGCAGTTAGCATAATGGCTATGTCGCTGGACTCCCACGTAGTTGACTGCGGTTTGTGTCCCAGACCTGGTGGCTTAAAACTCACGCCGGGCGCATGTGCCTGCGTGCCCAAGATCCTGAGAGGAGAATGAAGGAGAAGGGATTGCAGCATGGCCATCCCCCCTGGGGGGTGATTTCTCACTTTCTGTCTCTCTGTCTCTCTCTGTCTGTCTGGCAAGTGCACGTGCCCTATAGCAAAAACCTCTCCCCCCCCCAAAAAAATCATATATTGTTGTATGCAAGTTACTGAGTGCTCTCTGCATGCTACTCTTTTTTTCTTTTTTTAGGTTTTTGCCATACTGGAAAAACAGGCGAGAGGAAAAGTGAGAAATCACTCCCCAGAGGGGAAGACCAGGCCGCAATACCTTCTTCTCCATTCTCCTCCTCCTCCTTCTCCTCCATTCTCCTTTCAAGCAAGTGCATGTGCACGTGTCACATACACACACACACATGCAATAGTTCATGGTACGAAATTAGACAACTTGATTTTATAATTATAATTTTTGAAATTCGTTGATTATTTTAAAGCTGGAAGAAAAGGTGGCATATAATTTAGACTAATTTTATAAATAATAAGAAAACTGAGGTTCCAAGAAATGAACTGACCTGCCCAAAGTCCCACGACTGTTTGCTAAACCCAGAGGTAGGACTGGTATCCTTCCATGCTCATTCCTGAGGCTCTGCTTTTGAATTGTGCTGTCATTTGTCACACGTTCTCTAAAAGCCATAACAAAGCATCTATGTGGACACGGCTGTTTTAGGTTTTTGTTTTTCTAAAACAAGGCTTTTATTTAGCACTTCACCTTTCTAATGAAACGTGTAATACCATCTCTATTTATTTCAAGCCAGTCAAATGCTCTAAGATGTGTTTTAAGGTGAATACTCAAAGAGAAGTTTTGTGTGTTGTTTTTTTTTTTTTATAAAAAAAAAGAAAAAACATGTCATCTGCCTTGTCCAACTAAAGAAGAAAAAACAAGTTTACAGTGGATTTTATTAATCAGAGTATTGAAAAAAATTGCATCCTGCTCTTTCGTTCCTAGGGAATAGATCCTAAATCAATGGTCCCTGACCATAAAGAAATATTTACCAAGCATCCTTTAGGAAGGGCATCTTTCAAGAAAGTACAATGTCTTCTAAAGAGTTTTCCCCACCTTTCCTCTCCTCGATCCTGGGATATTGCATCGGTTTCGCTGCAAGGACACAGAACTTTGGAACCCTGCCCTGCCCCTTCTGCAGTCGCTTTTGAGGCAGGCACCAGCAATGAACCTACAGTTCTTTTCTGGCAGGTTAAGGAAAATGATTTTCCCTTTCACTGCCTCTTGAAGCTGAACATCAACTGTTTCACCACTTGCAATTCAAATCCATTAATTAAAATAAATATAAAGTAAAAATCGCTCTTTCAGCCAGGAGGAAAAGGACAGATGGGAAAGCGGAGGAGGTGGAGATAGCTGATGTCTTCTTAGAGGGAGAAAAAAAAAAAAGGAAAGAAAAACAAGAAACACGAAATGGGGAGGGGAGGTAATTAAGAGAGGTAAAGTGTGTTTGAATTTAATTTATGGCTCACAACTATTTTGGGTCTTATAATAATTGCATTGCTTAAAGGAAAAGAGCAAAACTTCTCTAATATCAAACTGGTGGAAGAGATGCTATCATTTTAAATCACCTCCAAAACAGTAATATCTGGCCTTTGGCAGTGCTTCCGGTTGAGCATAGCAAAATCATCTCTTCATTACAACTTATGGAAACCATGCATCCCCCGCCCCCAGGCCTCCCTCTACATTTTTCTAATTTTTCATTCCTTTCTCTTTTATTTCCCATTGCCTGAAATAAGACCGTGGCAAGAAAGAGAAAAAAAAAGAATCAGTGTAAGTCCTACATGCTCTGGTATACAGAATTACAATTAGAAAATGCTATCTGCTGCATACATCGCATATAATAAAAACTCTGCAAATTATTTATACAATGTCTGCAGCTAAAGCCTGACCCAAACAATTTCAATATCTCTGCACTTAATATATTTAACTGAACAGCCCATATACCAGATGATGATTTCGGATAACCACACAAAGTTAAAGCAGAATAGAGTGAGCAGAGTTACTTTAAAGATCTCGGTGGAGACAGACAAAGCTAAAATCATGATGGCATAATGATTTTAGATAAATGAGGTGAAAGAAAATATATATGCTTCGTTTTATCTGACCCATCCTTATAATTATCTCTGTATTCCATGTTGAACTAGTGAGAGGCTGAAAGAAACTTACAGACCACATCTCATAAAGAAACAAGATCTAGAGAAGTCAAGTGATTTGCTAATTAGTGGCAAAGCCATGTCATCAGGTCTTCAGACTTTCAACTATTAATTTTTTCTTACAAATTGACATTTTTTTTATAAGGGATGAGAAACGTGCTAACTTTAAATTAAAAAAAAAAAACACTAAAAGGAAAGCCACAATATGAACACAAAATATTTCAAATATAATTAAGTATCTGTTAATCTAAAATTAGAACATATTTCAATCACTTTACTTAACATGTTCTATACTAACGTAAAAGGAAGACATAGAAGTAGGTGGCAAGGATGACTAGGGAAAAAGAAGCCTTCCTGCCCAATTTAAAAACAAAAGTATAGGCTACGAACTTGGAACATTTGAGAAAGTCAATACTCTGGTACTCTTCAAATGAGTCCCAGTGTGGCCAGAAGAGATGGACAAAATGAATTCTCAAGATCTGAGGAAAACTCGGGAGGTAATTTATCTCATGAATTAAGAAAAATCAGTCCTCACAAAGTAGAGAGAGAAGGGAATGTAGGATAGAAGACAGAAGTATAAGCCTAACTCTCAGAGAATGAAGAGATCAAATAATAAGTGAGCTGGTAGAGTTAAACAGATACAGGCTAGGGGCTCTTCCAGTTCTTCTTCCTGGTTAATTAAGCAACTGTAAAGAAGAAGAAAAAAAAAAAATCTCAACTTTACTCATGCTTCTCTGTGCTTCCCCCATTCCTAAATTTAATAGACGTGGGCAGGAGTGGGATTTAAGCTTTATCAGTCTTACCTATCACCACAGAGCTGTCAACTCGTGAAAGAGAAAATATACTTTGAAATACACTGCTGAAGCAATAGCTCATCAGCAAACTGTGTCAGCTGTACCTACAAAACAGATTCCAAATCTTTACCCTTGTTCTCTTGTCTTTCCTCTGGATTATGCCTCCAAACCAGGTTTCTCTGCTGTTACACTTGTCCGGCACTGATTTCTTAAAAATGTAAAACAGATCAAGACACTCTCCTACCCAAAGTTCTCCAAAGGCTTCTCATTGCACTTAATAGTAAAATCCAATTTTCTGAGGCCAGTCAGTGGTATGATGGGTAAGGAGCTGGATTCCTACATGCTTGACTATGGTTCAAGTTCCAGACCTGACGGCTTGAAAATCACACCAGGTAAATGTGCGTGGGTGCCCACAATCCTGAGAAAAAATGGAGGAGACTGTAGCGTAGCTCTCCCCCACCACAGGAGATGATTTCTCAGTTTCCCTCTCTGTGTCTCTTTCTGTCTCTCTCCAGCACAATGCCCTAGGATAAAAACCTAAAAAAAAAAAAAAAAAAAATTAAAATAAATCCAACTCCCCAGTACAGCCTGCAACTTCCTATCACTCCCTTCCATGGCCTATAAAACCTACAGAATACAGCCCTTGCTTGTCTCCTCAACTTCATCTCTCTTCAGAAGCCCTGAAGTTCACTATGGAGTCTTACCCCACAGGTCTTCATTCTTTTCCCCAGTTATACCAAGTTCTTTCCTACCTGGTCAAAGTGACAGAGCCCCAAACACTGTTTAATAATCATAAAGCTCTTTCTTGGTCTTGGAATGCTCTGGACCAAGACTTTCCTATGGCCGACACCTTAATACTTGGGAGCAGCCCAAAAGTTATCATCTGGTTCCCTCCTGTCAACACAATTAAAAGTAACACACCACACACTCCATCCCATTGCCCTATGGTATTGTCTTCATAAATTATCTCTGATATCATGTTGCTCATTTATTTGTATTATGTAATTCACCCCTACAACCAAACACACACATACTTGTACATAAATTCCTTAGGAATTTGGATTTTTTTCTTCCTTGTTCCTTGCTAAATCCCAAAAGCCTTATACCCAGTAGAGACAATTTATTAAAAAATAGATTCTATTGGGAATAACAGATGGCGTAATGGTTACATCATTGGACTCCCATGTAGATTGCCATGGTTGGAGTCCTGGACCAGGGTTCAAACTCAAAGCTGGACACATGTGCATTAGTGCCCAAAGTCCCAAGAGGAGAATGAAGGAGAAGGGACTGCAGCGTGGCCATCCCCCCCTGGGGGGTTACTTCTCACTTTCTGTCTCTCTGTCTCTTTCTCTCTGGTGAATGCATGGGCCCTAAGCAAAAAATCTCTCTTAAAAAAAATGTTTTTTCAAGTACAAAAGATTCAGATGCAGTAGTTGCAACATGATCTAGAAATCTGACCTTTCAACAAACACCCTCAGATTATTCTGATACAGGAAGTTTTTGGAAACTTTGAACTCTTACGCCAAAAGATAAACAGCAAGGACCTGATGGATAGTATTACCAGGTAAAGGTTTAGCAAATAAAAATCATCTTCATAAATATCTTTACCCTAAAGCTGATTCTCAAGACAAATTCTTTTCAGTATTTACTGTATATTATTTAAATTCATTGGTCTTTAAGTTCAATTTTAGGCCATTTTATATTTTGGGGTTTTGTTTTGTTTTGTTTTGTTTTGTTTGTCTTAGGGTACATGTGTTTGTAAAAGAGAGACAGAGAAGGAAAGTGGGAAATCACCCCCAGGGTGCGGAGGAGGGAAAGAAATGGCCATACTACAATTCCTTCTCATCTACTCTCTGGTTTTGGACACCTGTGCACATCTGCCCTGCATGATTTTCAAGCTGCTAGGTCTGGGACTCAAATTGCAGTCTGTCATATGTGAGCTCAGCATCTTAAATACCACACCACCTGCTGGCCCAACAGCCACTTTTAATCTATGTGATGACTTCAAAAAGTTCATGGAAAAATAAAATTAAAGTGAATGTTTATTTCGATGCAAAAAAAAAACTAAAATCCATGCATAGTCTTTATAATACACATTTTCTATGCACTTTTTAAAGATCCATACTATCATGGGTCAGTTATTAGGCTTTACATACTGTCATCAGTGATTTACACATGTATATCCCATTTTATAGATGAAAATACTGAGCTTCAATTAAATGCAGACAACTGTTAAGAAGTGACAGATTTGGAAATCATATCTGTATGTTACCAAGGTCTGTGTTCTGTGGAGTCTATACTTCCCACTAATTATACCTTAATAGAAACACAGGATGAGCATTTCTGCTCAGAAACTCAAAAATCCAAAATCTGAAATGTTTGGAGTGCCAACAATGATACCACATGTGGAAAATTCTACACCTGACATGATGTGTTCGGTCACAGTCAAAATGCTGCAATACAAATATATTGTATTAGGTTGGTGCAAAAGCAATTGTGGTTTCAGATCATGACTTTTAGAGCATTATAACTAAGCTCAAACACATCTTCATTAATCAAAATAGGAACCATTACAATTATAATCAACACATTTTTGCCAATGAGAAATAAATTTGTTTACTCCTATAGTGTAAAATGCTGTTTCAGAGTTCAATGAACTCTTGGAAAGCATCTTCTGCATGCTACTGGTTGTGGAAGTATTTTCCATGCAAAAAGTTGTTGAGATGTTTAAAGAAGTGGTAGTTGGTTAGCAAGAAGTCAGGTGAATATCATGGATGAGGCAAAAACTTTCAGGTCCAATTCAACTTTCGAAGAATTGGTTGTGCAACATGCAGTTGGGTGTTGCGGAGAAGAATTGAGCCCTTTCTGTTGACCAGTGCTGGCTGCAGGCATTGTAGTTTTGGGTACATCTCATCAGTTTGCTGAACATACTTCTCAGATGTAATGGTTTCACTGGGATTCAGAAAACTGTAGGGTATTCAGAAAACTGTAGTGGATCAGACCTCAGCAAAGAGTGGCCATGACCTTTTTTAGTACAAATTTGGCTTTTAAAAGTGCTTTGGAGCTTCATCTCAGTCCAACCACTAAGCTGGTCATCACCAGCTATATAAAATCCACATTCATCTCATGTTACGATCCAATCAAGAAGTGGTCGGTTGTTGTACAGACTAAGAAAAGACAATACTTCAAGAAGACAATTTTTTTAAATTTCTGTTCAGCTCATGAGGCAACCACTTACTGAGTTTTTTCACCTTCCCAGTTTGCTTCAAACACCAAACAACTTAGAACGGTAGACATTGAGTTCTGCAGCAACTTCTTACACAGTTGTAGGAGGGTCAGCTTCAGAGATTGCTCTCAATTGGTAGTTGTCGACTTCTGGTAGCCAATCTAACACCATTTCTGCAGTCTAAAATACATATAAAATAAACAGCAAATAATAAATCATTAGCAAGAAAAAAAAGGTGAGAAATGCACATTAAAATGATAAAATAACCACATTAATTTATTAATGTATCCAATAACAAGTGGCAAATTTCAACAATGCAAAACCACAATTATTCTGCACCAATCTCATATAAAATTATCTTGAAGTTACAAATATAAAGTATTTTCGGAATACAAATTTCATGTTTCAACTTGAGTCTCATCCCAAGATACCATAGTAAGTATATCCAAATATTAAAAAAAAAAACAAAAAAAAAAAACACCCCAATCAAAAACACTTCTGCTCCAAGCATATCAGACATGGGATATTCAACCTGTAAAACCAATAAATAAAAACGTGTGTGTGTCAATAAAAGGATGGGATTTTTTTTCCTCTTAATATTCTTCAATTTAGAAAAATATTGCACTAGATTTTTTACATTATGAACCGTCTGTACATTTAAATAACAATGGCCTGGCAAGCTGAAAATGAAGTAAATATTAAAAATCCTTTCATAAAGCAATCACTCTTAATCAGAATTACCTATGGGTACCAGTTGGTTCACTGTTCACAGATCTAGCAGAGGCTCTCAAGTTAGGCTTATAACCAAAAATCACTTCAGAGAACCTCTTAAAAATTCTAGGCTTCACTCCAGTTCTCTGAATCAGAATCTCTGGGGTGTGACCCTAAAATCTTTATTTTTTAAGCTCCCTAGGGGCTTCTGAGTAAAAACGGTTACTCCACCACCGACAATACAGATGAGTAAAGTGAGGACCCAAAAGAGTGGGATCTGCCTAAAGACACCCAGCTTGTGACACAGTAGGCTGGAAAAAATAGCCTGACTCCCCATTTGGTGCATTTTATATCAACTCAAGCTGCCGTTTTCGGTAAAACGGTCCCTATTTCTGCTCAACTGTGTACATCATGATCACTTACTATTCACTATCCTCCTGTAACGTAGTCCCACATCTGCAAACTGGGAATAATAATAGTGCCTACCTCTTAAAAGTGGTTTTAAAGAGTAAACAGTATAATATTCCTTACATAACGCACTTAACACAGTGCCTGGCATATTGTGAGTACTCACTAGCTAGGTTATGTAACGCACTAAAAAAGCATGCCTATTTTAACTGGAAAGGATTTACTGAACCACTCCAATTACAAAATGTACACGAACCTCATGTTTAGCTCTGGAAGTCCAAGAGGAAGTTTAAAGTCATGGTATCTGTCTTGTTTCTCCAACTACTCATGTCAAAAGTCAGTTCACTTCCGAGGGCAATAACTTCGCAAGAGCTTGCCTGCGTGCTGCATATCAGTTTATCCTAAGATGCCCGGAGTTACCTAGTGACTCCATCTCTGGGTAATGGCCAGGAATCTACATTTATAAGAAGCTCCCTCCCCCAAACAGGTGATTCTCAGACAAACCAGGGTTTGATAACCGTTAGTACACAGAATCCGTGACTACAGCGAATGGCCTCTGAAGTCCTCCCACCAAAAAACTGTCGTGTTCCACGACTAGAGGAGCAGCGTCATCAGGCCCTGATCCAAACAACAGCTGGGCCAGGCTGTGAGAGTAACCGAGGTGGCCACCAGGGACTGCTTCGACCCCCTCTCCTCCGAAGAGACAGAAAACTACGAAAATGCAGTCCCGCGCTGCCCGCAGGAGACAGTGCCGCCTAGGCGGTTACGAGAAGCTAAGGTTGCCTCAGCAACCTCTTTCCCAGAGGCGAAGCCAAAGGAGGGCGACCCTGCACCGCCAGCCAGGCCTGAGCGGCGCCACAAGGTTAACGACCCTCCTGCTTGATCCTCGTAACCGCCGAGAGCTCCACTTCCCTCCCCCCCCTACTTCCCGACTGTCGGAAGTGCGTCACCCCAGTCTCCTGGGATGCCGGGAGTTGTAGTTAAGTGGCTACTTCCCTTCCACCAAGTCACCTTTTTGAAAATAAGCAAGTATCTTGAATCCTGAAAAATCTGCTTTATTGCTCAACGTGTCTAACATTCTTCTTTTTTTCCAACTGATAAGGCAAACGGTCTCAGAGCTCGGCAGAAGCACGGGACTACAAGTTCCAGCATGCTCCGCGGGGCGCCCGGAGCGCCGGGCCACCGTCCTAGGTGCGGGCCGCATGAATGGAGTGCCGGGTGTAAGGCGAAGCCTGGCACCGGCGGTGCGGCTGTTACCTGCTCCCAGAGCGTGAGTGCGGGCTGTGGGCCGTGCGCGTGCGCGTGCGCGCTCGGAGGGGGCGCCGGGCGAGCGCGCCGGGCCGACGCGGGCGCGAGGCTGCTGTGGTTGGCGGCAGTCGCGCCTGGAGCGGGGGCCGGTAGTCGCGGGGCCTCCTACCCAGCTTTAGGCTGCGGGGCGGCC